GTTTGTGAAGGTGGAGTTATCTGTTTTAGCAAATGAACTCTTCATATAATCACAGTCTTGATCCCTCAAAGTTTTTCCTTTTTGTAGTTGACAATAAATAAATAAACACAGAAGCCCAAAAGATTCACACAGAAACTTTCTGCAGAAGATATTTTCACATCCTTTAGTGAATTAATAACACCTTGTTTTTAGATTGTTCTCTTACATGTAAAATACAAACACAATGTCCTCAAAGCGCCTGAACACAGACTGACTTTGTGTTTCTGCAGATGCTGGTTTGTCACATATAACAGTCTAGATGACGCTCATGTTCATGACTTGTTTTAATCCTGGTGTGCAGCTGGTGAGCAGTCGTGCACTTTGTCCACAACAATGTTCAGGTTTTCACCTCGCCTGTCACTGACGTATATATTCTGTATATATATGTATATATATCTTTTTAATGTCTACTTCACTGTTTTATTATCATATGAACTCACACCAACGCTGCTCAGGAGCTGGTTCAGCAGAGGCCTCATGTTTCCTCTGCCAGCCTGTCACCAGCAGCCCGTCTCTCTGTCTCTCCTCTACGTCCTCCTCCAGCTACTACGGTCTGACCGTGTGGTTCCCCGACATGATCAAGTACCTCCAGAAGCAGGAGTACTCCTCACGCACCAAGGTGTTCCTCAAGGAGAAAGTAGAGCACGTCACCTTTAACTTCACCCTGGAGAACCAGGTCCACCGTCAGGGAGAGTACTTCAACGACAAGTAAGTCTGCTTCTCCCACTCATCGGCCTGTTGGATGGAGATGAATCCTCCTGAGTTCAGTCTTTGGTTCCACAGATAAATGGTGAATGGACTGTACTTAGAGCGCTTTTCTAACGGCCACAGAGCTCCATGCAAGCTGCTGCTGCCATCAGGAGCAGCTTCAGGTTCAGGGTCACTGTGACTGTGGAGGGGATGGAACCACCAACCTTATGATCAGAGGACAAACCGCTCTACACCTGAGCCGCTAAACTGTTCAAAGACAACGCTGTATTTTCCATTTCCGGCCTTGTAGATAAATATATTCAGAGTGAACACTTTCAGAGGGAATCTAACGAGGCTTCATGATTTATTCTGAGCTCTGCTGTGATTGGATGAAAGCCCCGCAGACCTTCAGTCTCTTCAGCTGAACTCTGCATGTGATGTCAGATGATGGAAGTCACTGTAATCTGGTAACAGAAGACCTGACAGTCCAGCAGAGGCTTTGTTTGTCTGGATGCCTCCTCGTCTCGTCCTCACTTCCACATGACGTGTCCTCGTCCTCTCCGTCCCTCCCCCTGTGTACCTGCAGGTTCATGAACCTGAAGATGAGGTCGATGGTGTTTGAGGACTCGCTGTTTGAGGAGTGTTACTTTGAGGACATCACCTCCACCAACACCTTCTTCAAGAACTGCACCTTCATCGCCACCTTGTTCTACAACACAGGTAGGGAACACACACACACACACACACACACACACTGCATGCTGTTACACACAGAGGTGGGAAGCGTTGTCTTACATCACATTTAGGTAAGCAACCAGTTATAAACCGTTTTGTCGAGGTGACATCACTGTAGCGGGGAAGCTTTATCTAACAAAGGAGACATGAAGCTGGTGTTCGGGAATGAAAGGTGGTGCAGCAACCAGACCACATGTGGAGGTCGTACATGATCAACACCGTCTCAGCGCTGCAGGCTGGAGAGGACATGAAGTCAGCTAGGACAGGGTTTGGTGTTTGCTCGTTAGAGATGCTGAGACCAGGTGAATGAAATCTGTTCTGAAGGTGGAGGTGTGGTTCTGCTGTTCTGCTCTCTTTGCTGTTGATGGTGCTTTTAAATATTTCTCGATAGATCACTTGTTCTCATGTCCTGCTACAGGCTTCACTCTGTTGTGTTTGCAGTTTCTTCTCATAAAGCAGCCGTTTGCTGCTCCGGTTTGAGCGGACCCTGTAGCAGCACCACCCACAGGACACCACACCCACAGCTAGTGCTTCACCAGCCACAGGATGGCTCATTTTAACCGACACCGGGAGAGTTTGAAGTTCTGCTCAGCAATGAATCAATTTCAAATTAAAATGACAGTTTGAATTCATACAATTAGCAAAGCTCAAGTCATTTAGGATGAAGGTTACCTAATGAGACTAGTTAGATGGTGTCTGATGCAGGTCTGCTCCATCACAGCTGATTCCATCACAGCTGATTACGCTTCAATATTCAGCCGAAAGCGTGAAAAACGAGATCGTAAATCAGCTCAGTCCATGAAAAATGTAGAAAATCACAGCTGGATGTTTTCCTCAGTTTGTTCAACCACGAAGGAAAACAGGTCATGAACTAAACTTACCAATAAAAACAACCAGCAGACTCCCAGAACCTGGGACGGAACACAAACAGGGAATGAAGAGCCGATGAAGACTCAGGAGGCCTGCTTCATCTGGGACGGGCTGTTTCCTCCTTCCTCCTGCAACAGGAGCTAAACCGGCTGCTGATGAGGAACCAGGAGCACCAGAGAGCGAAGGAGGCTTTCACAGTTCTGTGAAAACTCTCTCAGCGTCGGTACTTTCAGTCAAAATGGCTCGACTACCGTCTCTTCTCCCTCCACCGGCTGACTGGCAGAACCGCCACGTTGCCTAGCAACCGATGTCATTATGTTGGGTTTGAAGCTGTCGATGGTTTTTCTAAGCGGTGTCCTGTGTGCTGCAGCATGCAGGTAGAAACAGGAAGCCGTCTGCTACAGGTTCAGCAGCTGCGTCCACACTCGCTTTGTTCTCGCTGTTTGCCGTCTTTGCTGGAGTGGAACCATCACTGAGCAGGAGGTCGTGGGTTCAGGGTTCCTTCAGACTGAGGGGGATCCAGAGGCTCTTTACTGTCACGCTGGGGGAGATGAAGCACATGGAGAATGCTCTGGGCTCCACAGGAGGGACGTTCTGCTGGGCTGGACTGAGCTCACCAGAGGTTCTAATAAAGGATCGCTTGGACAGTTTTTATTGCAAATCATTTTTCCCAACGATGAAATGCTTCTTCATGGAGTCTGATAAAATCTAAGTGTGTTGACAACCACTGACTACGGTTATTACATACACACGGATCTAGTTACTGAAGTTATATATATATATGATTATAGATATCAGTGGAGACATAGATCTCTCTCTCTCTCTGTGTCTCTCTCCACATATAGTGAATATTATAAATTAAATGAAACTTAAAATAGATAAAATAATTACAAAACAAAAGACTTGGTACCTCTGTGGTTCTCTTTCAGCGACACATTTAGTTCATGGTTCAACATTTATCTTTAGGAAAAGCTTCCCAATAAAATTTCTTTAAGAATTCTAATTCAATATTCAATATATTAAGAAAAATTAACAAAAGGAATGACTACTGTAGAAATCTGAGTAGTTTAAAGGTAAATAAGTACTATGGAGGTATTATTATCGCAGAACTATTTTTAAATGTGTAAAAGGATTGTTGGAGTGTAAAAACAAAAGAAGAAGAAGAAGAAAACTAAGTGAATGTTTTTAAATGATAAAATTCTAAATAAAACCAATCATAGGAAAAGGATCAATTAATGATTCATGTGCATATTTTAATCTTCGCTTGTTGTTCTCCTTCAGCAGCGCTGTTGGTTTTGAACAAGCTGTTGGTAGATGAGCGCTGATGTTTGGGGGAACCGACAGACCTGCTGACGGCGACTCGCTGCAGAGGAACATTTTCTGTCTTCTGTCGTCTTGCTGAGCGTCTCTGTTTAATCTGAAGCTGCTCGTTCCACCAGCAGCAGCTTCAGGTGTCACTGAAGCGGTGAACATTCGTTAAAGCTTGTGAATGTACTGATGTCCTGTTGGGGGGAAATGGGTCCAGACCCGGTTCATCATCCTTTTTTCTTCTGCCCTCCCCTCTCTCTGTCTCCTCCTCCTGCCCTCTCCTGCCCACAGATCTTTTCAAGTACAGGCTGATCAACTGTAAGCTCGTCAACAGCACTTTCCTGCACAACAAAGAAGGCTGCCTGCTGAGCGACATCAGTGATGAGAACAATGCCTACATGGTCTACTTCGTCAGCTTCCTGGGCACCCTGGCCGTGTTGCCAGGCAACATCGTCTCTGCGCTGCTCATGGACAAAATCGGCCGGCTGAGGATGCTAGGTAACGCTCGAGCACCTCACTCAGCACCGTGTGTGGGTACAGGGAGGAGAGCAGGAGTCAGCCTGGAGCTTCTTCTGAATGTTTAGATTCCAAATGAAGGCAGCCAACAAAAACCAAAGTAAACGGTAGATGTTGAAGGCACCTGTCGCACCTTTCTGCTGGTAGATATTGGAGACGGTGTAAACATCCTGATTAATCACATGGCTTTCTGCTGGGGAGAGCTTCAACAACCAAAGCCAGTGATGCTCTGGGTCAGCCCTCATCAGCAGGGCAGGGTGGTAAAGGAAAGGGCTTCACCTTTAGTCAGTAAGTAGTGGGATGTCTGCTCTGGGTGGGGGCCTTCGGGTTAGGGTTGTGTTCTTAGATCCTCTGGATGCCAGGCCCAGCCCATGAGATGGACAGCTCCATCCAGTTCAGTTTTATCTTCTGTTGTATTTACGAGGTGATGCTGAACAACACGAGTTCCCTCAGACATGAGACATGACGTCATGTCACCACCGAGAGTCCAGGGTCAGCTGGAGCTACACAAAAACACATGCTCTTGGTTCGGTGAAGCAGTTTATAGCTTAGTGACATAAATACCAGAACAACAGCGATGTTCCTGGCAGGAGAAACAGGCTAGTGCTGCTGCTAGCTCCAACACAGATACATGAACAGAACCACAAAGAGGAGAGGCTCTGAGGCGTCCTGCTCGTATCACATCCCAGCCGCCTCGACTCTGACCATGGTTGTAGGTTTAAACGCTGCTGTGTGGTAGGAGGAGGACACCAGGTGGCGGCCCAGTCGGGCAGGTTGGGAAGTGGGCAGAGCAACGTTGCACAGAACCACCAGGGCCCGTAACAGCTTTATAAAGAAACCCACCAAATGCAGGGATGTGGACAGCATTAGGCCATAAAGACATTCTGTTCTTTAGCTTTGTTTGCATGACCGCTGCATGATTTGGGCAGAACACCAGCAGGACCGTGTTCGGTGCAGGTTCCTGGCATGCGCTGTCGGGCTTCATGAAGTCAAGTCACTATTATTTATAAAGAACATTTAAAACAAGGGATACTAAACTCGTGAGCTTTCCGGTAAAGAGATCAAACTGACATGTTCAGATGTTCCAGTTCAGACCTTGCAGTGGTGCTACCTATAGAGACCTGACAAAATGAAGTCGTCAGGTTAAGACTGTTCAGGGTTACACCTGGAAACACCTGGAAACACCTGGAAACACAACCAGGCAGCAGGAGACAGAACCAGTAGAACCAGTCTTCTGTGCAGCGGGACACAGCTGAAGAAGTTTAACGTCTTCAAACATTTAGAAGAAACCCTGGAATCACCATGGATGACATTTCTCCGTGTGCCCACTCAGGACTGTTCACTCTGAATCACACGGACTCTGAACAGGTGTCATTTTGGTGTCTTCTCTTTCTCTAAAGTTTACGTACCTTCTGAACCGCCGGCTCGCTTCGTGTGGAGCAGGACAGCCCGCCTCTAAACCACATGGGTTTTATTTTGTTTTGTTTTACTCGTAACAAATAGTAAAATGTTAAATCCAGTTCTGTATTTCACTGGTAATCAGAACTGGATGAGCTCCAGCCCAGGCTGCTGCTCTCTGAGCTCCCTGCAGCCTCCACCACATTCACCTGCAGGATGTCCTTCATGCTTGTCAGACTCTGTCCCTCTCTGTCCACAGCCGGCTCCAGCGTCATCTCCTGCATCAGCTGCTTCTTCCTGTCTTTTGGCAACAGCGAGTCGGCCATGATCGCGCTGCTCTGCCTGTTCGGGGGAATCAGCATCGCCTCCTGGAACGCCCTGGATGTGCTGACCGTTGAGCTGTACCCCTCTGACAAGAGGTAGGCAGTCAGCTGTGCCCTGACGTCTCCTTGACACCATGACGACGGTGCTGCCGTGTGACGTGTTAAATGATGTCATTAGAGCTGCGTCGTACTGATTGGCCGGCTCACAGGGTGGATGACACTGTGGGGGGAACCATCGGAGGGGCTGTAACCTCAGCGTTTGTCTTGCTGCCACCTGGTGGCGGAAACAGGATTTTATCACTAATGATTTTTTAATAGTAAGTAAAGCTTCAGTTGAACCTTTCATAGCACAAGAGAGGACTGCTGCTGCTGCACACCATAACTCAGATATTTTACGTAGGTGCATGCTTCGTGTTGCCAGCCTGATTTTAACATGAGAGCAAAGTTTTGATTTTAAAGCTAGAGCGCCACCTTGTGTTCACATCGAGTCCCTGCAGCCTCTGCAGGTGGTGGTAGCAGACAAACGGTTGTTGTTACATCTTCAGATTTCTCTCATATTCCTCGTTTAACTCTGTAGAAGCTGCTAGACGTCAGGTTTGATGGCAGACTTTCAAAA